TTTAATTATCTATTGGCTTTATAGGCATACCTTTTTGTTCTGTGTGTCTGTGTCTGGTTGCACAGGGATTGAAATACACATCTTTAATTTTTACAGTCTTAGACTTTCATTTTTATACTAATTCATGTAAAATGTAGTAATCTTTTATCAATATGGGTCCATTTATCCCCCTCTCTTTATACCACAGATATATATATATATTTTTTTTTAAAGATTTTATTTATTTATTTATTTGACAGAGAGAAACACAGCGAGTGAGGGAACACAAGCAGGGGGCGTGGGAGAGGGAGAAGCAGGCCTCCCGCCAAGCAGGGAGCGTGATGCAGGGCTCAATCCCAAGACCCTGGGATCATGACCTGAGCCAAAGGCTGATGTTTAACGACTGAGCCACCCAGGCACCCCCACAGATATATTTATAAACCACACATTAAATACTCTGTGTATTTTAAATAAGTTGCAAGGGAAATAGTCTTTTATGTTTGTGCACTTATTACCATTTCTTCTTGTTTTTCATTCCCTCCCAAATATTGGATTTTCCACTTGATGATGATACCCTTCAGTTTGAGGAACCTCCCTTAAGTGTATATTTTAGTGAGGACTTGCTGAGGTAATTTTATGTAGTTTTTATTTGTTTGAAAATGACTAATTTACCTTCATTTTTGAAAGATATTACTTTTTGCATACAAAATTCTGGGTGGACAGTTCCAGTGCTTTAAAGATATTTTTCCACTCTCTTGTATTCTCTGTATAAACCATGGTGTAACATTCTGTTAATTTTTATATATGTATTTACACACAATCATAATCTAGATCAAGATGCAGAACACTTTTGGCACCCAGCAGGCTGACTTAGTTTCCTCCCCAGAGATAGACACTCTTCTGATCTCTATCAGAAGTTTTGCCACCAAACTTAGTACAAATAGAATCATGCAGTACATACTCATTTATGTCTGGCCATTTTACTAAAACATCCTTGTCTGAAATTCAACCTTATTGTTACGGGATACAGTAATTCTTTTTCATTGTATGAATATACCAAAATTTATTTATCCATAATATATTTTTTTAAGATTTTATTTATTTATTTATTTATTTTAAGAGAGAGACACAGCGAGAGAGGGAACACAAGCAGGGGGAGTGGGAGAGGGAGAAGCAGGCTTCCCACCGAGCAGGGAGCCCGATGCGGGGCTCGATCCCAGGACCCTGGGATCATGACCTGAGCTGAAGGCAGGCGCTTAACGACTGAGCCACCCAGGCACCCCGACATTAATTGATTTTCAAGTGATATATCAACCTTGTATTCCTGGCATAAATCCCACTTGATCATAATGTGTAATTCTTTTTATGTTGCTGAATTTTGTTTGTTGGTATTTTGTTGAAGATTTTTGCATCCATATTTTTTAAGAGATTGGTCTATAGTTTTCTTGTGATATGTTTGTCTAGTTTTGGAATTAGGTTAATATTGACCTCATAAAATGAGTTGGAAGTGTTTCATCATCTTTTATTTTTTGGTAGAGTTTGAGGAAAATTAGTATTAATTATTTAAATGTTCAGTAGAATTTAGCAGTAAAGCCATCTGGGCCTGGGCTTTTCTTTGTATTTTTGATTGCTAATTCAGTCTCTTTATTTGTTATAGATTTATTCAGATTTTCTATTTTTTCTTGAGGTGTTTGTATTTTTCTAGGAATTTATGCCTTTCATCTAAGTTGTCTAATTTATTAGCATACAGTTCTTTATAGTATTCCTTTATAATCCTTTTTATTTTGGTATGATCAATTGTAATATCCCCTCTTTCATTTTTAATTCCAGTCACTTGAGTCTTCTCTCTTTTTTCTTGGTCTGTCTAGCTAAAGGTTTGTCCATTTTGTTGATCTTTTCAAAGATCCAGCTTTTGATTTTCCCTTTCTGTAGCAGTCATCAAGTTCTTTTGGGCAGAAGTATTTTCTGGCAGCCTTTGCCCAGTTCAGCTTCCCTACCACTGTCTACCCTTTCCCACCATTCCCTTTTCATCTTGCCCCTAGCAAGAATTTCCCTGTACTTACTATTGCTTATCCCCTGGCTGTCACTGTGTGTACCATAATTAATTCCATCTGTTTTTTCCCACATATATATGCTTGTCTGCTTAAATCTCGTTTTTCTTCTCCTTTCCAAATTTTAATCCACTTAACCTTAAGATAAGCCAGCTACTTTTCATTGCATTTTTTTTTTTTTAAGATTTTTTTTTTTTTGGTCAGAGAGAGAGAGCGCACGTGAGCGCACACACAAGCAGGGGGAGCGCCAGGCAGAGGGAGAAGCAGATTCCCTGTTGAGTGCGGAGCCCAGTGCGGGACTCGATCCCAGGATCCTTGGATCATGACCTGAGTCCAAGGCAGACATTTAACCAACTGAGCCACCCAGGTGTCCCCTCATTGCATTTTTGAATAGAAAGATCTTGAATAATGATTGATCATTTTAAGAGAAGGGCAAATAATCCACCTTTAGGAAAAGGAAAGCTAGAAAACTTGAAGTTAAATTAATATATTAATGGTATTCATTAAGCTGCCATCTCCTCCCATCTAAATTCTCTACTATAGTCTTCACCTAGCTACATTGTGAGAAAAATAGGCTTTTTGAGTTGGCTTGGGAACATAACCATGTAGTATTTATAGCACTATAACAATATAGTTTCTATAGTATACTCTATGTGTAGGTATTTTATTTCTCTGTAGTCATTTTGGACAACCACTTGTCCTACTGTACTATACCATGCTATACTATATATAGTGTATAGGTTGAGTGGTAAGAAGGATATGAGAGTGATAAGCCACACTGCCTGGATTTGAATTTTTTTACTCTTGAGCAAGTTACTTAGCCTCAGTTTCCTCATCTGTTAAATGAGGAATTTAATAATAATGCCCTCCCATAAGTAATCATTGTATTAGAGGAGTTAATAGTACATTTAAATTATTTGAAATATGCTCGCACATAGCAAAAACTCAATAAATGATAGCTATTAGTACTATTACAGATACTTTACCTACAAAAATATGCTTTCATTGAGAATTTTTTCTATTATGAGGGTCAAACTGTAGGATAATTAATTGGTTTGTATAATGTTGCCTTCACTCATTTTATCCTTCAACCTCACTACCCCAAGAACATCTAAGATATGTTAAAACAAAAGTGAAAACCTCTTAAGCCTCAGTACAGGTGTGAACCTCTCAGGCTTCAAAGTTATTCATATTTTAGGACCTTATAAATTGCCCTTGAAGCTAAAATAGCTTCTGTGATGACTGTCTCTGTTACAGTCAGTATCCAGGTTATTTTTAGAACCCTGTTAGTACTGGATTACCTTAAAAGTGGAAACAAATGTCGTAAAACATTTCCTCTAGTTAAGAAACTTTTCAGGAGTCATTGAAAGTGTAGTTTTATAGTATATAAATTATTAAATGGCTTGGGACTAATAGAATGGGCCTTTAGAATAAATTTGGGTTTGGAGTTCAGGAAGAGGGTAGTGGAATGTGTAGCATCTAACTTTTCTATACCACTCAATTTAGGTATGAAATTATAACGTCTTGTTAAAGAATACGAACATCAACTAAATATATTAGTAACAAAACAAATTTAATCTCTACTGGCTTGTTAGTAAAACAGCTTATTGAGTTTTTCCCCGGAGAATAACTTAATTTGTTGAAATTGAATGAAATAGCTATATTGATGCTTTGTTGTTGTTTGTTGTGGGGTTTTTTTTCCCTCTTGCGCAGGTGCAGGGTTTCTTTCTTTTCTTCTTTTTTAATTAGAAATTATTCAACTTAAACTAAAAAAATAAACACTTCACCCATTTCTCCCACCCCTCACCCCCCACCCCCCACCCCCCACCTTTGATATTTTGTTTTTGTTTTTGTTTTTTTTTAAGATCCAACATATAAGAGAGATAATATGGTATTTGTCTTTCTCTGGCTTATTTTACTTAGCATAACGCCTCTGAGGTTCATCCATGTTGTTGAAAATGGCAAGATTTCACTCCTTTTTATAGCTGAATAATATTCTGGTGTGAGAGAGAATGTGTGTGTGTTTAAAAAACACAATTTCTTTATCCATTCTTCTATGGACACTTAAGTTGTTTCCATATCTTGGGTGTTGTAAATAATGCTGCAGTGAACATGAAGTTGTAGATACCTCTTAAAGTTAGTGTTTTTGTTTTCTTCAGGTAAATATCCAGAAGTGGAATTGCTGAATCATGGTAGTCCTATTTTTAATGTTTTGTTTTGTCTTAATATTAGCACTTAGTCTTGAAGTGTATATTGATTGCGTAGTTATTGACAAATAAGAGATTAACATTCGCAGACTTGGTCCACCACTTAAGTCTAGAGCACGTCAAAAAGTATATTAGTACATTTCATTCCTTCAGGAAATAGGCAGTTCTGTCTTACTTTACAAGACCAGTGTAGAATATGTAAAACATGGCACCTAGCCCTTAGAGATCAAAATTTTGAGGATACATGATTTTTACATTAATAAGTACAGCAAGGTGACACTATAATATAATTGCTTTGTAATTGGTACTCTGTTTTCAGTTCAAAGGAGTCTGCGATCCATTCAGACTATGGTGGCCAAATGGGCTTCAAGAAGAGGAAGTAGAGGGGTATCTGGGTGGCTCTGTGGGTTAAGCATCCAACTCTTGATTTTGGCTCAGGTCATGATCTAAGAGTCATGAGATTGAGCCCCGTGTGGGGCTCCATGCTGGGCGTAGAGCTTTCTTAAGATTTTCTCTCTCCCTCTGCCTCTCCTCCTCCCACTTGTGTGCGTGCTCTCTCTCCCTCTCTCCAAAAATAAAAGAGGAAGTAGAATTTGGGCAGAAACTTTAAGTTAATTAATATTTTAATCAACAGTGTATTTGGGGGCTGCCTGGGTGGCTGAGTCAGTTAAGCGTCTGCATTTGGCCCAGGTCATGATCCCAGGGCCCTGGGATTGAGTCATGCATCGTTCTCCCTGCTCAGTGGGGAGCCTGCTTCTCCCTCTCCTGCTCCCCCTGCTTGTGCGCTCTCTATCTCTCGCTCTGTCAAATAAATACATAAAATCTTAAAAAAGTATTTTGAGTGAGGAGTATAGTTAGGGGTAGAAGCAGTTCTAGGGCATATTCATATATTTCTTCAGTAAGTGTTGCGCTCTGAGCTCTTTCTTTTTTCTGCGCAAAGCCTAAGATGCTTAGGATGGGACACCTGGATGGCTCTGTTGGTTAAGCATCCATCTCTTGGTTTCAGCTCAGGTCATGTTCTCATGGTGGTGAGATCAAGCCCAGGTCAGGCTTTGCACTCAGTGTGGAGTCTACTTCAGATTCTTTCCCCCTCTCCCCTCCACCCAAGCACTTGCATGTGTGCATGCTCTCTCTTTCTTTCTCAAATAAATAAAATTAAAAATAAAAAGATGCTTGGGATGTTTTTGGAAGATAATGAATATAGTTTGACTAGAGTGTAGATTGAAATCAATATAACATTTTATATTTACAAATTTATACATGTGTATATATACACATATATATTCATACATAAGAGTAAGATAAGAGTATAAATTATGATGCTTTAAATGTCAGAAGATATTGGTCAGTGGGAACCATTATTTGAATTGTGGTAACATTAAAATAGATGTTTTAAGAACAATTTAGAAGCATTGAGTTTGATTTTGAGAATTAAAGTAAAACGAGGTATGGTGTAAGAAGGAATGTTAGTTGTATAAACTGTATTCAGTATTAAGGTAACTCACTTTTGAGATACGCAGTCAGGGCTCTTAAGAATACTGTTTCTTGAAAGACGTTTAAAATCTAGGTGCAATGAAAAGACATAATGTGATAAATTTGGTCAGTATGTCACTTGAACTTTGAGCATTAGGCCTAAAAGTTCCTCTAATCTGTTTAACTCCCAAATCAGAATGTGTATTAGATAGACTTTATTTTTGTAGTTCTAATGGTTTATGCATTAACTGTACTCCTGCCTCACCTGCTTCTCTCAGGTTTCACCCCAAATGTATATTAGATAGAAGGATTTATGTTATGGGCCCTCTCCTCTCCCCACGATGGCGTGTGCTCGTCCATTGATATCTGTGTACTCCGAAAAGGGGGAATCATGTGGCAAAAATGTTACTTTGCCTGCTGTGTTCAAGGCTTCCATTAGATCTGATATCGTGAACTTTGTTCACACCAACTTGCGCAAAAACAACAGACAGCCATATGCTGTCAGTGAATTAGCAGGTCATCAAACCAGTGCTGAGTCTTGGGGTACTGGCAGAGCTGTGGCTTGAATTCCCAGAGTTTGAGGCAGAGGGACTCACCGTTCTGGCCAGGGTGCTTTTGGAAATATGTGTCATGGGGGCTGCATGTTTGCACCAACCAAAACCTGGCGCTGATGGCATCGTGCAGTGAACACAACACAGAAGTGATATGCCATCTGCTCTGCCCTGGCTGCCTCAGCCTTACTAGGACTGGTCATGGCTGAAGGTCATCGTATTGAGGAAATTCCTGATCTTCCTTTGGTGGTTGAAGATAAAGTTGAAGGCTACAAGAAGACCAAGGAGGCTCTTTACCTTCTTAAGAAACTTAAAGCCTGGACTGATATCAAAAAGGTCTATGCCTCTCCGCGAATGAGAGCTGGCAAGAGCAAAATGAGAAACCGTTGTATTCAGCTCAAGAGACTTCTACAATGAAGACAGCGGTATCATCAAGGCCTTCAGAAACATCCCTGGAATTACTTTACTTAATGTAAGCAAACTGAACATTTTGAAACTTGCTCCTGGTGGGCATGTGGGACATTTTTGCATTTGGACTGAAAGTGCTTTCCGCAAGTTGGACGATCTGTATGGCACTTGGCTTAAGGCTGCCTCCCTCAAGAGTAACTACAACCTTACCGTGCATACTTAATACAGACCTTAGCAGAATCTTGAAAAGTCCAGAGATCTAAAGAGCCCTCCGAGCACCACGCAAGAAGATTCATCGCAGAATCCTGAAGAAGAATCCAGAAGAACCTGAGAATCATGTTGAAGCTAAACCCATATGCAAAGACCATGCGCCGGAATACCTTTCTTCACCAGGCCAAGAATCACAAACTCCAAATGGATAAGGCAGCAGCAGCCTTAGAAGCCAAATCAGATGAGAAGGGGGTTCCAGGCAAGAAGCCCGTGTGGTAGGGAAAAAAGGAAAGAAGGCTGTTGGTGTGAAGAAGCGGAAGAAACCTGTGGTGGGGAAAAAGGCTGCAGCTACCAAGAAACCAGCAGCTGACAAGAAGCCTGCAGAAAAGAAACCCACTGCGGAGAAGCCTGCTGCCTAAAAACTTAGGTTTATTCTATAAAAGTCAAATCATTTTGGACAGCTAATTTTGAATAAAGACCTGATCAAAGCCAGTGGAGAAAAGGAAAAAAAAAAGGATTTATGTTACAAGTAATTATATGAAAGTGGAAAGGAGTACATGCTGGCAAACAGCTCAGTACTCACTCTAATCTAGCAGTCCGTGTATACACTTAGTGAGTGAGCCACCATTTTGATATAAAAATCGTAAGTTTTATTTAACTCCCAAGCTCACATGTTTTCACCCCTGAAAGATGGATGTTTTTGTTGCTGTTTAAAAATTTAGTGTACATATAGAGATTGTCTGAACTAATGGTTTCATTCATAATTCAACAAATAGCGTGCTGTGTATCAGTATAGTTTTATAGATTCTGGACCACACAAATGAATACATTCTTATTGCCTTTGCAGAATTTAAAAGTCCTAGTGCAGAAAAGACAGAGAGTAATAAGTAAAATGAAAAAAAAAAAATTAGGTTGTAAACTTAAAGCCCTGACATATGAGAGTTAAATGGTGTTCAGGAAAGTATTAGATTACTAATCTTGAGGTGCAGGTTTTAGTTTTTAGTCCTAGAACTGCCATTAATTCATTACATTTTTTTAGTTAATATCTCTAGCTCTCCATTTCTTCCTCTATATTATTCTTCCTCTCCCCTTCTCCCACTTCTTCCTCTCATTTCTAATGGAGTTGAAATTTTTGAAGTCCTTATATTATCTAAAAGATGATTGGATTAGTTGCTTTAAAGGAAATCTGAGATTCTTGTGGTATATGTAATATTATTTTTAAAGCTTTGTAACTTTTTATTAAATCATTCAAAACCAAAAATGGACAAAATAGGATAATAAACTCCCGAAGCAAACCTCTCGAGCATTATATCATTTCATTATTATTTCAAAATGTATTCCTAAAATATAGAATATTTTTCAAAATCACATGATGGTTAGCACACTTAAAAATTTATTAATTATTACTGTAATTAAAAATAGCTATTAACTGTTTTACTAAAAGCATATACGTATGTTATGGTGTGTCTCTTATGTTTGAAATATAGCTTACAAAAATACATAAACTGTAGTTTAATAAGTAACTATAAAGTGAACATGTGAATAAAGAAATAGTGTATCGGGGTGCCTGGTTGGCTCAGTCAGTTAAGTGTCCAACTCTTGCTATCAGCTCAGGTCTTGATCTTAGAGTCATGAGTTCAAGTTCTGCATTGGGCTCGATGTTGGGCGTGGAGGCTACTTAAAAAAAGAGAGAGGGAGGGAGCAAGCAAGAGAGAGAGGGGGAGAGAGAGAGAAAGAAAATATCAACACACCCAAACTTCTATAAGCAGTGGAATCAATGCAGTCTTAGTTTGCTTATAATGTCATTGTCTATGTATGCATCTCTAAAAATATAGTTTGTTTTTTTCTGGTTTTAGTTTTTGAATTTTATATGAATGGAATCACATCATATGATTCCTTGTGATATACATCTTATTCAGTATTATGTTTGAGCTTCATCCATGTTATTACTTATATCTGTTTTTCAATTATTTTTATTGCTGAATAGTACTCTGTTGTACTACTTATCCAATCTTCTGTTGACATTTGATTTCTAGTTTTTTTTTGGCATTTACGAACAACATTGCTGTGAATATACTTGTATACGTATTCTGTGTATATGTACAACCTGCTTTAGGGCATAGATATACACATAAGTGAAATTGTTGAGTCATTGGGTGTGCATATCTTCTACTTCACTGAAAACACCAAAGTAGTTGTAACAATTTACATTTCAGTTAACAGCGAATGAGAACTCTCATTTTCTTTGTTGGACTTCTAAAAGGTTGATCTAATTTTACCAGTGAGGAAACTTAAAAAGATCTTTTACTTTACTCTTCCCCAAGGTAGTGACTTTAAAAAACCAACTGTAGGGGCACCTGGGTGGCTCAGTCGTTAAGCATCTGCCTCTGGCTCAGGTCATGATCCCAGGGTCCTAGGATCGAGCCACGCATTGGGCTCCCTGCTCCATGGGAAGCCTGCTTCTCCCTCTCCCACTCCCCCTGCTTGTGTTCCTTCTCTCGCTGTGTCTCTGTCAAATAAATAAAATCTTTAAAAAATAATAAAATAAATAAATAAATAATAATAAACCAGCTGTAGGGGCACCTGGGTGGCCCACTTGGTTAAGTGTCTGCCAGGATTCTGGGAAGGAGCCCGGACACTGGGCTCCCTGCTCAGCGGGGAGCCTTCTCCCTCTCCTTTTGCCACTCCCCCTGCTTGTGCTTGCTCTCTCCCTCCCTCTCTCTCTGTGTCAAATAAATAAAATCTTAAAAAGCTGTATTGACTTCATAATTGAGAAATACAATAGGTTGCACATACTAAACTATGCAGTACGAAATAATAATATATCTAGTCTTTGTTACCGGTTCTTAGCATAGAGATTCAAAAACCCTTGGAATATCCTGAGTCCGAGGAGTGTCTTTGTTATGCTAATTGGGCAACTCTTGGCCTGCCCCTAGACTCTTAGAGGGTCATCAGAAAGTCCAAGCACGGGTTAGAGAGTTGGAACTTTGCCACCTGACCTGGAAGAGGTGGGAGGCTAGAGATTGAGTTCAGTCATACGATAATTAATCCTATATTAAAACCCTAATAAACCTGGATACCAAGGTTCAGAGGAGTTCACTGGTTGGTGAACACATTGGTGTCCTGGGAGAGTGTTGTGTTGGATTCCACCAGAAGAGGGCATGAAAGCTCTTTGTCCCCCTCTTTCATCCCCAAGTGTTTTTTCCATTTGGCTTTCCTGAGTTGCATCCTTTATAGTAAAGCTGTAATTATAAGTATCGTGCTTTAGGTGAGTTCTGTGAGTTGTTCTGGCAAATTATTGAACCTGAGGGTGTTGTAGGAAGTCCCAAAGATACAGCTGGTTTGTCAGAAATATGGGTGGCCTCCAGGGCTTGTAGGTGGCATCTGAAGGGGGGGCGGGGCAGTGTTGAGAAGAATTTTGTCCTCTAACTTGTAGGGTTTGTGCTAATTCCTGGTAGTTACTGTCAGAACTGAATTGAAATGTAGTACACTTAGTTGGTGTCAGAGAATGGCTCTCAGGATGTAAGTTTGACAAGTTTTAACATACATGTATACAGCCTTGAACTGTCATCACAATCAAGATAATGAACATATGTGTCACCCCCAAATGTTTCCCCCAGTCCTTTTTAATCCACTCTACTCCCCATTTGTGTCTGGCTTTTTTGGCTTAGCATATTTTTGAGATTTATTTATGGTGTTGCCTAAATGACGTTCTTTTTTATTGTTATTAGTAGTTTTTTATATGTGTATACCACAATGGATTTATTCATTTACCTGTCAATAGATAGTTATTACAATTTAGGGCGTTCTGAGTAAAGCTTTTATGAACCTTGTATTTGTGTGAACATTTGTTTTCATAAATACTTAAGGGTGGAATTTTTGGCTTGGATTTTAGGTGTATCTTTAACTTTATGAAAAATGGCCAGTTTTCCAAAGTGGTTATACCATTTTATATTCTTACCACCAGTGTATAATTTTTTTTTTTATAAAGTGTTCATATCTTTCTCCTATTTTTATACTGTGTTAGAGGACTCATACACCTACCTGATTTCAAAACTTAATGTGAAGCTACAGTAATCAAAACTAGGTGGTTTTATTAAAATGATAGATAAATAGAGCAATGGAACATAATAGAGAGTCCAGAAATAGACCTGCACATTACAGTCAGTTTTATTTTCAACAAAGATGCCAAGACAGTTAATGGAGAAATAGTCTTTTATACAAATGGTGCCTGAACACCTTTACCTGAAACTCATAACACATACAGAAATTAACTCAGAATACATTATAGACATATAATTTGCATTTTCTTTTTCTGGTTGAACTCTAGAAATTCTTTATATGTACAAGACTGGTTCTTTGTTCGTTACGCCTGTCACAAATACCTGCTTTCATTTGGTAGCATGTCTTTTAAAAACTTTTTAGTGATGCCTTTCAATAAATAACACTTTAATTTTAGTTTTATAGGATCGATTTTTGTTAGTACTTTTTGTGTCTTAAGAAATCCTATTGACACACCGTCTTTGGGGTGATCCGTGGTGGATGTTTTGAGGGCAGCTGACCTGCAGCCTGCACTCCCCGGACTGCCTTCTGTGGAAGACTGAGCCGGCCGTGTAGCTTTCTTCCTTTGTCTCATAACCATGTCCACCAACGAGAATGCTAATTCACCAGCTGCCCGCCTTAACAGATTCAAGAACAAGGGGAAAGACAGTACAGAAATGAGGCGGCGCCGAATAGAAGTTAATGTGGAGCTGAGGAAAGCTAAGAAGGATGACCAGATGCTGAAAAGGAGAAACGTAAGCTCGTTTCCTGATGATGCTACCTCTCCACTACAGGAAAACCGCAGCAACCAGGGCACTGTAAATTGGTCTGTTGATGACATTGTCAAAGGCATAAATAGCAACAATTTGGAAAGCCAGCTCCAGGCTACTCAAGCTGCTAGGAAACTGCTTTCTAGGGAAAAACAGCCCCCCATAGACAACATAATTCGGGCTGGTTTGATTCCAAAATTTGTGTCCTTCTTGGGCAGAATTGATTGTAGTCCCATTCAGTTTGAATCTGCTTGGGCTCTCACTAACATTGCTTCTGGGACGTCAGAACAGACCAAGGCTGTGGTAGATGGAGGTGCTATCCCAGCATTCATTTCTCTGTTGGCATCTTCCCATGCCCACATCAGTGAACAAGCTGTATGGGCTCTAGGAAACATTGCAGGTGATGATTCAGTTTTTCGAGACTTGGTTATTAAGTATGGTGCAGTTGACCCACTGTTGGCTCTCCTTGCAGTTCCTGATATGTCATCTTTAGCATGTGGTTACTTACGTAACCTTACTTGGACACTTTCAAACCTTTGTCGCAACAAGAATCCTGCACCCCCATTAGATGCTGTTAAGCAGATTCTTCCTACTTTAGTTCGTCTCCTGCATCATGATGATCCAGAAGTATTGGCAGATACCTGCTGGGCCATTTCCTACCTTACTGATGGTCCAAATGAACGGATTGAAATGGTTGTGAAAACAGGAGTTGTGCCCCAGCTTGTGAAGCTTCTAGGAGCTACTGAATTGCCCATTGTGACTCCTGCACTAAGAGCCATAGGAAATATTGTCACTGGGACAGATGAACAGACTCAGGTTGTAATAGATGCAGGAGCACTTGCTGTTTTTCCCAGCCTCCTAACGAACCCCAAAACTAATATTCAGAAGGAAGCTACGTGGACAATGTCAAACATCACAGCTGGTCGCCAGGACCAGATACAGCAAGTTGTGAATCATGGATTAGTCCCATTCCTCGTTGGTGTTCTCTCTAAGGCAGACTTTAAGACACAAAAGGAAGCTGTCTGGGCTGTGACCAACTATACAAGTGGTGGGACAGTTGAACAGATTGTATACCTCGTTCATTGTGGCATAATAGAACCATTGATGAACCTCTTAACTGCAAAAGACACCAAAATTATTCTGGTTATTCTGGATGCCATTTCAAACATCTTTCAGGCTGCTGAGAAACTAGGTGAAACTGAGAAACTTAGTATAATGATTGAAGAATGTGGAGATTTGGACAAAATTGAAGCTCTACAAAACCATGAAAATGAGTCCGTGTACAAAGCTTCATTAAACTTGATTGAGAAGTATTTCTCTGTAGAGGAAGAGGAAGATCAGAATGTTGTGCCAGAAACTACCTCTGAAGGCTATACGTTCCAAGTTCACGATGGCACTCCCGGGACTTTTAACTTTTAGATTGTACAGCTGAGGCAGAAAGTTGTTTGTTGTGTACTCTGTTTGGTAGAAGTTTGTCTTACTGTTTCTCTACTAAGAACTCTTTTTAAATGTGTTTTGTTATTGTAGCACTTTTTACAAGGAAACTCTACTTGACCAGTTCCAAACTGTACAACCTGTATGAAGCTCCTCCTCTCAGTGGGTTTCCTATTTCTATGTGGAATCTCCTCTCTTGCAGTGTCCTGTAAATAAAGATTAAATTCCACTCTTTTCTTTAAAAAAAAAAAAAAAAAAAAAAATCCTACTGAATGATAAATACATTCTTTTTTTTTAAGATTTTATTTATTTAGAAAGAGAGAGAGTGCATGCAGGCAGGGAGACAGGTAGAGGGAGAAGGAGAGAATCTCAGACTCCTCGCTGAGCGTGGAGCCAGATGCAGGGCTTGATCCCACGACCCTGCGATTATGATCTGAGCTGAAATTAAGAGTCGGTTGCTTAACCAACTGAGCCACCCAGGTGCCCCAGTTCTCCTTTATTTATTTATTTTTTTAAGTTTCTTAGATTTCCCTCCCCAATTTCAATTTTTATTCCACTGGGAATTAATTTTTTTTTTTTTTTTTTTTTTTTGGTAAGTTCTAAAGTAGTCTGTCTTGGGATGCCTGGGTGGCTCAGTCAGTTAACCGTCTGCCTTCAGTTCAGGTCACGATCCCAGGGTCCTGGGATTGAGCCCCACGGATCAGGCTCCTTGCTCATCAGGGGCCTGCTTCTCCTTCTCCCTCTGCTTACTGCTCCGCCCTGTTCATGCTCTCTCTCTCTCTCTCTCTCTCTCTCTGCCAAATAAATAAGATAGATAGATAGATGATAGATAGATAGATAGATAGTGGTCTGTCTTTACCATTACTTTCTGGAAGTGGAAAATTTTAATGATATTTTCTGTGGAATGGTTGAGGAGCATGTGTTACTAAGTTTTTACTATTTTAAAAATTATGTAAATTTTAGTGATATTCCATTTATTGGATATTTCATAGTTTTTTTAAACCTGTTTAAAGACTCGTATTTCTCTGTAAGTACAAAAGAAGAGGGAAAACAACTTTTCAGAATAATTTATTTACCTGAAAAGATGGCTGTATTGACATTTTTCCTTTAAAATATTTCCAACAATTTGTAAATTGTTGATTTGAGGGCCACATAGAGCATGTAGACATGTTTTGCTTTTCCTTTGCAATAGTATGAATGTTTTGGAGCTGCTTAAATTCTCAAATCAAATGATTTCACTTAAAATTTTGTTGTGTCCTGATCACCTGGATGATTTTGCAGTATTTCACTGCATTGTCACCTGGCAGTAATTAACTAAAGCTTAGATCTGTCTTTAATTGGGGCATGTGTTCTTCATTTCTCCCCAGTCCTTATTTCCATGTCACTCCCCTCCAGTTGTGACCCCTGCTATATAGATGCATGTTTAGGATTATATTTACTTAAAAATTCTAAATAAATTTCTAGCAAACAGATATATATTTACTAACTGATTATCTAGAACTGAGTAAGTTTTATGCCAGAATGATAGGAGTATATATCATGGGTCATAATGTTCATGTGTGTGTATATAAAACACTCATATGTATATGTATATGTAATCAGAGTAGATGTTAAAGAGGCATTTTGTGAATTCTAATGTTTTTTTAAAAAAAGTGCCCATCCACTTTATGTCAGTCACTGTTCTAATCATTGAGGATACAGATGTTAACAGACAAATTATTTTCCTTACAAAACTTAGGTGAAAGAAACCTGTAATTCAATTTATTATTTTAAGGTTTTAAAGTAGAATTAGAATACTTCGTGTCATTATATTCCCAAATCTGTAACATCTGTATATCAGGCCAATGATGCCATGGTAAATATGTTCTATTAAAATCAGAAACTTTTTTTTTCCAGAAACTTTTTTTTTTTTTTAAGATTTTATTTATTTATATGAGAGAGAGAGAGCATGAGAGGGAGAGGGTCAGGGAGAAGCAGACTCCCTGCCGAGCAGGGAGCCCGATGTGGGACTTGATCCCGGGACTTGATCCCGGGACTTGATCCCGGGACTCCGATGCAGGACTCGATCCCGGGACTCCAGGATCATGACCTGAGCCGAAGGCAGTCGCTTAACCAACTGAGCCACCCAGGCGCCCCAGAAACTTTTTTTTTAAGACAAGTTTGGTGAAACTCTCATTTCAACTATTAATATATGTATGTTTATCTTGTATTTTGTGGTAAATACATTCATTTTTAATTTTAGTTTTTTAGTTTGATATGATTTCAGACTTCGAAAAGCTGCAAGAATAGTAAAAAGAGTCTCCTGTATTCTCCAGATGTTACCTTTTTCTACTTTTACTCCTCTTTTCCTCTCTGCCTACTCCCATGTCCTATATGAGCACAAAGCCATTTATAACAAAAATACAGTATTCACTTCTTTAAGATTCCATTCTTGATGTTTGTATTTGGGCTCATAGGGACAGTGATGTACAGTCATCCTCATCTGTGTTTTGCCAGGTTAGGTCATTCATGCTCTACTTGGCTAAATTTTGTGACAGTGTATGTAATAGCATTCCTTTCTGAAAGTTTTGAAAACCAAACTAGCTGATTCCCAAGGATCAGATGTTCTTTTGTGTTTTTATTTTTTTATTACACTATTATTATTTCATCCTGAACTTTATTTTTTGTTTTTGTTTTGTTTACATGTTTTGATATATTTGTGTTTATTTCACCTGGTTGTAACATTAATTAACGTGTAGCTAAGAAAAATGTCTCCCCAGTTTTAGAAGTCATTTGTACTGAATTTTTAAATTGTGGTAAAATATACATAACATAAAATTTACCATTTTTAAGTGTACAGTAGAGTGGTATTAAGTACATTCACATTGTGCAACCATCAGCACAATCCATCTCCAGAACTTTTACATCATCCCTAACTGAAACTCTGTACCCATTAAATGCTAAGTCCTCA